AGTCCATTTTCCAACGAGAGAGGCCCCAAATCATCCACCCACCTAAGATTAAAACACACCACGATGTCACAATCTGTACCACCTAGACACACAACCTACCAGTGCTCAACTCGTCAACCCTACCCACAACCTGTAGACTTACCAGTGTTTGATTTCACACACTGATCAACAACATCAAGATCGATACACGACCAAAACCTACCAGCCTTCCTTTCAACCACATCCCATAATCAAAAACCTACCTCCTGAGCAAAACATACCTCACCAACAATAGATCCCAGACAAAACCTACCCCCTTAAACCTCAATTGAATTTAGTACACCCAAACACATCATATGAGCCCTAAGCATACCCATGAACCATCCAAACATCCCACCAGGTTTCTCTATGCCAATATTTAACACAGACACACAACTCACTCGAATAACATAAAAAAGCGTAAAAGTTCAAATTTGTGACATATATACCCCACACCACACCTGCTCGTATCCCTGTCGATCATTCTTAACGTCCACCTGGTTCAAGATAGACTTTCCTTGCATACATCTGTTTTTTCTAAAGAAACACCTCAGACCATTCACTTATGATGTTGACATTAGAAATCATGCAATTTCTTTTCGAAGATGTCATTGTAAGCAACATAGCCACCCGATGAAATAAATTTGAAAGATCGATCATCACAAGATCCAAAAACAAAGCCGATTGCAACATTTTAGGATTGAAGAAACAACAACTTCGGTATCAGAACAACAAATAACAGACCCAATAAGTAGACACTGGGAATACCCATCTCAAACATGTGCATGTCGATTGTTTGAAGAGGGTGGGTCACTAAAGCAACCCGGGTAGGATTTGTTTGAATATGGTATGTCTGGTTTACTTTCCACACTAGACCCTACCCCCATACCTCTTTATGTACAAAATCCCCACCTTTGAAAAAAACACCTGGCATTTTTGATCAGGTATACCAGGGTATACCCTGATACAATCAAACATGTGTACGAGTAAATTCGAAGAAAAGAGCGTTGGGTCAAACAGTAACCCTGATTGGATTCCCACATGTTATACCCGCCCAGACTGTATGCCTTAAGCACTACACCCACCCACAAAATATACCTAAGACAAAGAAATCCACCACCTCAAAACAAAACACCCAACATAAGGTACCTAACATCATTTACCCTTACCACATTATGGCATCAATGTAGCCACCACACCTTAAGACTCCTAAGCCAAGTGCAACAAGTATGTTGAAAAGGTTTTCACGCATATGCATACATGTTTTGGTGTTTACCAGGTACCCACACAGGGCACAAGCTCACCTGCGCAACCACAACTCGGTCACACACGCTCAACCTACCATCAACTTACAACAGACATACATACATATGTGATGTGTGCTACAATACACACAGTATGACTACATACTTACCTCGTACCCACAAACTGACTTGCACCATCCCCACGTACTACACAACTTCTTATTCACTCTCCCAGGGCCACACCTTATCTTTCCCAGTACGTAAGTATCTCGCCCTGTCCAAATGCCTATTCCCTGCTAACCTCCGACATTATAGATACAGCGCGCGGGCAATAGAACCTTATTGGCATTGATTGAAGACTTTGCTGCCCCATGCCGCCTACCCGTACCAAGAAGGCCAAGCCATCAAAATCAGCGGGGTCTGTCACTCGTGGAAGAAGCGTAAACACGAGATCCACTCGTAATGCGCCACGTCCAGGTCAGCAATTATCTGCAATTTGCACATGATACTAGGAGCCTTAACTCGCATGCTGACTTTAAATGTCTATATTCTCAATTGTGATTCATTCCAGAAGACTCACCTGATGATTCCCCACCCGAGGAAGCTGCACTGTTTGAAAGTCTGTTTTTCAGGTACAGCGTGTTTCCTCGAAGGTCCTTGAAGTTGAGATCACATTTTTTTGCTTGATTCAGATGATGACTCATCTTTGGCGTCCGATCCTGGAGACATCGACTTCGATGGTCCAGACATAGACTCTGGTGATTCAGACTCAAGTTAAAGGCTTCTCACACTGTCATTGGTTTTGTTTCTGCGTAGCTGACACAGCTACTTTGGTGCTTCAGATGACACAGACGATGCAGCCCCCGCAGAGCCAAAGAAGCGAAAGCGACGTGCGAAAATAAGCCGGGTGGTGTTGCCACCACATGACACTGACCTTCCTCACCCAAATCAACCTGCGATTCCTACAGACCTTAACGGAATTCGGCTCCCCCCAAGTCCCCCAATCAGACCAACCCTTGAGAATTACAAAGAACTCGCAGAGAGTTGGAGTATTACGGAGCTTTCACATTACCTCACGTGTACCAAGGCCAAAGCAAATAATCGAATCCCACCTTCTATCCTGTATGAAGCCAGGGCACTTGAAGAAGAACTCACCACGCGCCTACAAGTGTTGAGTATTGCTGGTGGCATCTCTTACGATACACTTAAATACGGAGTGTTGAGTTATTCCCATATATATACTGCCTTTTCCCAATTTTGTTTAACATGATGTCTCTCCCTCACAGTCATCGTGCCGTCCGTGAAAATGAAACCAAGACTTACAACTGATTCCGCAAATTCAGCAAGGTGGCGACAGTCGACAACAAAAGTAATGTTTGACTAACTGGTCTGTCGAGATTGTGACTCACTTACTCACAAACTTATTGCCCTACAGTGCCTCCAACAGATGATAAGGTCGGTCTAGCAAGCTACAATAGCGTAGTGTGTGGGGCGTGGCAAGATACCAAGACCTCATCAGATCTACAAGTTTTCGAAAATCCTTTGTTTGGTCGCATTGCTCTGGTCATCTCTAATGATCCAGCCGATCTTCAACCTCACGAACACCTGTCTGCCGAAGAAGAAAAGTACCGTCCAACCTTTGAACAACTAGTCAATATTCAAAAAGTAAAAGATGAACTTGCACTGAGCCGTAACATCAATCAAATTGC